CGCCGCTGCTGCTGCTGCCGCCACTGCACCCAGCACAGCCAGGAAACACAGGAGCGGGACCAAGCGCAGCGTGGCGATGGGCGGGAGTAGAGCCCCGCCGGAGAAACTGGACGGCCGCCGGTGACAGGTGAGTGCGCCAGCGCGTGTCCCCGAGCGCCCCCCCTCCCGCGGTGGTCGCGTCCGGACCCCCCACAGTGCCGCGCTGGGCCGTACCACCAGTGCCGGCCGGGCGGGGACCGCGGTCCTCGAGCCCCCCCTTCCGGGACTGAGTCGGGGTGGCTGCGCGGGGGTGGTAGTTCTAACCCTGAGGGGCCGGGGGCGGGGGCGGCGGGCCGTACCACTGAAACGGCGGGGGGCTACCAAAGTGCGAGGACCGTACCACTGAAGAGCTGGGGGTGCGGACCCCAGCATGTGCGGGCTGTGGGCTGAACCCGCGGGATGTGAAGGAAAAGCGTGACTGGCGAGCGCTGAACCCTCGAAGGGGCGCACCTTACCAAGTGTAGGGGGCTGTACCTATTTGGGGCCGTGGGAGCAGTTCATATAATGCTTTGAGAGAGGTGGGGGCTTCTGGGGAGGGAGCTGTACCAAGTATGGCCGGGGCAGTGCCGTCTGGGTTATACCACTGGGGGGAGCCATCCTTAGAACATAGAGAACGCTACATCAAAGGAGGAGGGCTGTTAAGTTTATAATCTTTTAGGGACGGGACTGGCCCAAGTGGGTGTTCAGGGGAGTATTTTGGGAGGGCTGTAATGCAAGTGATGAGGTGGGGCTTCTGCCTCCTAAGTTTGGTGGGTGGAGCTTGGGGTTTACACTTAGCTGAAGGGGAGGATCACCCTTTATTAAACTTAATGACTGAGGGGAACTGGATGGACACTGGACTGCTGTCTACCCCAGAACCCTTTCACATTACACCTTATTTTACGATGTGTGGGTCACCCCTGTGGCAAGTTGTTTCTTTCCTTGGGGAGGGGGAGATGTCTTAGTTTGAAGTTTTCTGAGCTTTCCTCCATTTAGGGAAGGGAAGGGTTATTGAGCTTGGATTTAAGAAGCTGTGTGCTCCCTGTCCTGCTTAAGACTTGGGAGGAAGGAGCGTTTGGAGGGACACCTCTCTCCTGTGACAAGGTGGCTGGGGACATCTTTAACCTTGCTAATCTGAGGATCCCTTTCTCTGATTTGGAGGCTGCTCGGACTCAACAAGGGGCCTAGACTGGAGTAATTAGGTCCTCCACGGACTGCCATTCAACCATGTCCCCTCTTCTCCTCCCAGAGAAGCATGGGGAGTTAAGTCAGGCCTCTGGGCCTGACCTTGGTTGGTGGTGGATGTGAAGGGGCCAGGCACCACCCACTGCAGGCCCCTCTGTTCTTCTTGAGGCTGTGTCATTCTGGGTTAGCAGTCCAGCTGCCCATCGTGTTTACGCTCCCCATCAGGCGATAACAGTTGGCCTCACCATTAGTCGGCAATGAGGTTAAGCACTGTTTTCCCAGCTGTTCCTCTTTGCATAGGCCAAGGGGACTTGGGTGGGGGTGCCCCTGGCCCAACCTGACCCAGGGAGGAAAACTGCTCTGAAGGACCTGGGACAGCCAAATTCCCCACAGATCTGGTTTCTCACCGTGGCCCTTGGGTGGATGCTTGGAACAGCCAGCCCCAGACGTGAGGCCGCCGTCCCTGCTCTCCAGGCCAGCTTATGACCTTGGCTTGCCAGTAACCTTTGCCTTGGGTCCGGAGTTCCCGGAGGGCTGGCTGCAGTCCCTGATTGACCCAACTAACATGGGCTGATGATGTGGTCAGAGGGGACAGATGGTCGCTTCTGGTCCACGGCATCAGCTTCCAAGCTGGCTTCTGTGAGTTGTGGTTCCTGGAAAAAAAGGTCCCTGAGTCTCTGTGAGGCCATGGTGGCTCTACAGTTTTTCTCCACTAAGAGTTTTGTCCCTCTGGTCTCCTTCTGCCAGTTTTAGAGGGTTTGCCTGATGGGGTTAACAGCAGCAATAAAAACAACCGTAATACTGATGGCTGACGTTTATTGAATGCATTCTGTGTGCTGCTCAGAATGCTTCACATGGATTAACTTGCTGAATACTCACATCCTAGAGCCATAGGTACTGACTGTTGTTATGTTCTGTTTTAGAAGGGGAAACTGAGGACAGGCAAATCATTTCCAGAGCTAGTGGATAGCCAGTTTTTATTGAACATTTACCATATGTCAGCCATGTGACAGGCCTTTTACACACATGACGTCATTTAAATCTCAAAACACCCCTATGGGGGCCGGCCGAGTGGCACGATGGTTAAGAACTCGCTTGGGATGCCAGAGGGCCCCGGTTCGGATCCCACATATGAGGGCCAGTGACACTGCCCTCCACAGCTAAGATGCTGAACAACAGCTCAACCTGGAGCTGGGCTGCCATGAGTCGCCGGCGACGGTGTAGGCTGCACTCCCTGTGGCAGTGGGTTGCCATGGGCTACCGTATGTAGCCAGCAGCCAGCGTGAGCGGCCAGCAGCCGCAGTGAGCGGCCGTCCAGAAGCCGGCGACTGATCTGCCTCGCCAGAGAAGAGCGCAATGATGGTGCCAACTTGGGCCAGTGAAGCAACGTCCTCCACAACTAGATTGAAGAACAAAACGACAGCAACTTGTCTGTTCCCCTTCCCCCAATTCCCCAGCATTGTTCCCATCCCCCCAATTCCCCAATAAAAATCTTTAAAAAAAACAAAACAAACAAAAAAAAAACACCCCTATGGGGTGGGTATGATTGTGCCCCTTTTGTAGACCACTATGAGGTAGAGAGAAGTGTGATACCCATTTTACAGATGCAGAAACTGAGAATTTCTGTGAAGTGAACTGATTTGCCCCAGGTCTCACAGCAAGAAGTGGTAAAGCTGGGATGTGAATCCCCGTCACCGTTTGGCCTCAAAGTTGAACTTCTTGTCAACGAGTAAGTGGTTTATTTGCACCCAGGGGTGGATTTGGTGTTTCTGTCCATTTTGCAGAGCCAGAAATTGAGGCTCAGAGGAGGAATTGCCTCGCCCTAGGTTTATCAGACTTAGAGGGCCAGGCTAGGGTTTGAATGCATATCAGCTTGTCTCTGGTGTCATGTACTCCTGGCTCACTGGACCCCAAACTGAAGTGGGTCTCACTTCAAAGCCCCTACCTTGGACCTTGCCAGCTGCACCTACGGACATTTTGTTCCCTTCGTCCCCAGAGCCTAAGGGCTGCTGTGAGCACGTCTGCCGGCAGCCAGTCCAGTACTTCTTGGCTTGCTGATGAAATTTGGTCTGTCCTCAGAGTTAAGCCAGGGCATCTTTGAACCCGGGGCAGAGTGTGTACGGGGAGCCAAGGGAAGACAGTAAGAGCGATATGCAGAGGGTGGCACAGCTCCCAGGGGACCTGTGTTAGAAGTCCCTGCACAAGGATGGTGTAGTGGGCATGCATTACAAGTTCTTGTGTTTTCACGTTCTGCCTGTGTGACCTTGGGCCACAGTGTTCATCTCTGTGCAGTGGACTCAGAACAGTAACCACCTTGGGCTGTTGTCAGGATTGAGTTAATCCGCGAGAAGCTCCATGAGAAGCTCTTTACACAGGTGGCTGGCACTGTGTAAATGCCCAGTCAGCAGTCTCAAGGGCATCCACCCTTCCCTACCCTTCACCCTTAGTCCTCTTGGGTGTCCTGCTATCCAGCTGCCCAGCCTGGCCCAGCCAGGATCCAGGAATCTGGTGTCCTGGTATCTAACCTCTGTAAAGAACTGCGCTGAAGTGATTTAGAGCACAGGGTTCAAATCCAGCCCTTCCACTCACTGGCTGTGTGACCTTGAGCAGATTCCTCAACCCTTCTGAGCCCGGTTCATCATCTGTGTCATAGGATGATGATAATTCTCCCTTGATAGGTTGTTGTGAAGGTTAAATGGGTTCATTTGTGGAAAGCATTTATAACTGGACAGGTATAACAGTAAGCCTACAGTAAACATTTCTTGCTCTCACTATATTTAAGAAGAGTGCGCGACACGTCGTAAGCCATAGGATATGTTAGCAATTGTAATTCATATTATTTCTGCTAGGATTTTGAAGGCCCTTTCCAAGTTACAGAATCTTGACAGATAATACCAGGAGGAGGGCAGGGCCAAAATGAGCATCTCCATTTTCCAGATGAGGGTTAGGAGTGGGAGGGGCATATAATCCAAATAACAACTGGCAAATGCGGCACCCAGGTCTTCTCACTCCCCCACACATTTGCTGCCTGGAGCCCCTTTGAGGTCGAAAGCCCAGCTCCTTTCAAGATGTCAGCCTCTGCTAAACCCTCTTCCAATACATGTTTTTTATTGAATCTCCACCAGGAGTTGTGGGAATAGCTTTGACCCAGGTTAGGAACAGTCCTTTTGAAGGCTTGAGGCAGAAGGGTGGGCAGGCAGAGTTGGAAAAGTGCTCATGGAATCAGGGGCCAGGCTGTGTAGAGCCTGGTGGGTCCGGTCAAGAAGCTTAGGTTTGATCCCAAAGGCATGGCAGAGCCGAGAAAGGATTTTCTCCACCACCATTTGTTGAGTGCTTACAGCATGCCTGACATTGCTTCAGGTGCTGGAGATACAGGGGTGCACTTGACAAACCCCTGACAGAGCTGACGCAAACCGTAAAACCGGGTTAGTAAAAGAGGGGCAAGTTAAAGGGAGAGGCTAGGCAGTGAATTAAAATCAGGTGTGACTGGTGCTTCTTTAGATGGGCTGTCAGGAAAGACTTTGAGCTGATCATGGATTGACTAGGAGACAGGAGAACAAACAGCCTTGGGGTGTGTTGGGGGACCACAGTACAAAAGTCACAGGGAGGACAGAGCTTGGTGAGGTGCAGGGACTGGGTAAGAGAGAGGGCATGGGGGGTGGGCGGGGCTGGGCTACTCAGAGACTTGCAGCCTTCTCTAAGGTGCAGCTTGGTCAGATTTATGGTTTTAGCAGGTGCCTTTTTCCATAAGAGAGGTTCTCAGGCTTCTGCCTGGGGTAGGGGTAGATTTTAGAGATGGTCAGGGAGTTTCACAGGCCTCCCACTTCCTTCTTGAGTAGAATCTCTGCCTTAGAAACTGCAAAAGCCTGATGGTCTCCTCCCTCCTCTGTGGTTTTCACACCGTGTTCCCCAGGGCTTATGGCT